TAAGTACTTCACATGGTCTTATCGTCACAGGGTTTCGCATTCGAAAGCTCCTGTAGGTTACAGAGATAACTAATTAATTTTAATTACCACCAGCTAAATGCATTTTTAATATATTAACAATCAAATTTGAGAATATTTATTTAGATAATAAAACAATTAAAATTTATTCCTTTTAATTATAATATAAACTAATAATATATAATAATATAATAATTTATAAAAATTATTATTATAAAAATAATAAATCTTTAAAAATTAATAACTTTGACTTATTAATTTAATTTGGATAATTTAACTACCAAAATAATCCTTTTATAAAGATGATTTTAATAAATCTAAATTAATCAAATCTAATCATATGATCTTAAGATCTTTAATATTTTATATTATATTTACTATAGTAAATATAATGCAAATTATTAATGATCTTGAGTAAGATTATGTAATTAGATTTAGCTAATTTTAGATTTATTAGAAATAACTCTATAAGATGATCATTTTGGTAGTTAAATCACCCAAATTGGACTAATAGATCAAAAGTTATTAATTTTTAAAAATTTTATTATTTTTTATTAGGACTTATTTAGGCATCGCACCTTGTGAAATAAATATTTATCGCATCTGGGATGCGATACAATTAAATACCAACATAAAAATTTTTAATTTAAAAACTAATTAATTTTTTTTTATTATACATATATGTGTGCATAGTTAATTACAAGTTAAGCTAGTAGCATAAAGCTAAAACTTCAAGTGCTAAAAAATTGCACTTACATACGTATAGTGCAGGAAACCTAAAAACTTCAATCATTTTATATAGAATAAAGGTTAACTTATTGAAGATAAACTAAATTTGCCATTTTCAATATGTAGTATGTTTTTTGCATATCTAACTAATGTACATGCTACATATAAGTATGAAATTCACTTGGATTAAAATATAATGATAATATATATGTACCTGACTAAACCTTATCTATTTTTACTTACAACATACAGTATATATGCATCCAACTTTAGAAAATGCTATTAGTAAACTTTTGTATAGAAGACGATTTCATAAGCAAAATTTTTTGATTATACTTATAGCTTGTAAAATTGCTTTTAGCTAGATACATGCTACTTTTTCAATACTGAATTACAGTAATACATACATATTGAATCATGTAATATAATTTTTTAATAAAGCAAATTAGGCATACAACTATATAATGTTTCTCTCTTAATTATCTCATTCTTTTCCTTTTCTTTTCAGTTTATAATAGGCTGTATTATAACCAACTTCACTACATTGCCTACATTTATATGAACCTCTAGAAGAAGTTTCTTGTCGTACCTATTTCTTTTCTATATTACTTTTATAGTGACGCTTAGAAGGTTTTCCTCTTCCAATTACACGATTAGGATTTTGAATATTTTGAGAAACTTGTATATCAATATTTTGGTTATCAAGTGCTTTATTGTTGGAATAGCTATCTTCTGATTCATCCAGTTCTTTAGATATGGTCTTATGTTTAATTACATTAATATCTATTTCACTTGATCTTAAAGGCATATTTTCCTTATTTTTTTTTTCTCATAATATAGTTTTGAAGAATATTGACTATTTCATTATCATCATTATCTACAGGTTTTGTATACCAATTTCGGACATTATAGCAATCAAATTCAGACATTATAGCAATCAAATTCAGACATTATAGCAATTAAATTCAGACATTATAGCAATCAAATTCAGACATTATAGCAATCAAATTTGGATATAATAGCAATCAAATTTGGATATAGTAGCAATCAAATTCGGACATAGTTGCAATCAAATTCGGACATAGTTGCAATCAAATTCGGATATCTTAGCAATCAAATTCGGACAGCAATATCTCGTGATCTAGTAGTCCAAATCACATATTGTTGGTATCATTTAACTCGTCTTAACAAGATTAGTCGAATGGTACCAAATTGTGTGGTTTGGACCACTAGATCACGAGATATCACTGTCCGAATTTGATTGCTAAGATGTCTGAATTTGATTGCTATTATATCCGAATTTGATTGCTACTATGTCTGAATTTGATTGCTACTATGTTGAATTTGATTGCTACTATGTTCAAATTTGATTGCTGTAATGTCCAAATTTGATTGCTATAATGTCCGAATTTGATTGCTATAATGTCCAAAATTGGTATACAAAACCTGTATCAAAAATGTAGTAAGCAATAGAGGTTGTGTATATGCTAAATACAAATATCCAGACCTCCAAAAATCTTATATTAACTAAAATTTGGACTATTATATCTAACCCTTATCCTGGTCTTAAACTGCATTCTAACTCTAAAAACACCTCTTTAAAATTACAAATTAATAAAATTTTTTCTTTAAATTCTATAAAAATTTTAACAAAAATTGTATATAATAATAAAAAACGCTAGTAATATATAGAGATTTTATATACTAATAATATTTTTTAAGTAAAAATATTTTAAGCTAATTCAATTATTGTGAAAAATTTTTTATATGATTTAATAACTAGGTGAGTTTTGAAAAAGAAACTTATAAAAAGTTTTATAAATTGTTATATAAAATTTAAAAAAAAACTAGCTGAGTCTATTTAAAAAGATTCACATTACAAGAATCAATAAATTAAATTTATGTAACCTTAGTTATACTCAAAAAGTTTTTAAAACTGTTTATTTGGTTGTTTTTCTTTTAGAATTTGGCCCAAGTAAATTAAAAAAAAATATAAGTATTTTAATTTAAAGCATGAAATTTTAAACTACTATTTTAAAGAATCAATATATTTTAACATCTTGATATAAACTACTAAGCACAGTTGACCCTCTTAGGATTGGTATACATAGTGAACAAGTTTTATATCAGTTTTAAGACGTTATTAAATTTGAAAACATAGCTAATAAAAACAGACTTGGTAGATTAGTTTTTTTATCAAATTTGACAAGTTGTCAGTTTTGACAAGATCGGTTTTTAGAAGATCAACTATATGTTATATTATTAAATTTGATTGTCAATATTCTAAAATTTTATAAGCCAGACCAAATAATTTTATAATCCATTGGTTGTTTTTAATGGATTTTGATGAATTTTAATACAGTAATTATAATATACTCATATAATAAAAAAGGTTTTATGACATCAATTAGCAGATTTTCAATTTAACAAATAAGAATTTCAATTTTATTACTTTTTCTTTTTTTTATAAAATTTTATTTATTAATTTGATAATTATTAAATTTTAAATTAATTTTAATTCTCTTATTAAGTTAAATTTGAGTTGATTTGAATGTATGTACAACATTTATGTTCAATTCAAAAATATAATTTTTTTTAAAAATTTATATAACAAAAAGCATCGTGTTATACATTTTGTCACATTTGGATTCTCTTTTTTAGAGGGCGATACAAGTATATATCATTTAAGCCAGAGTGACCTTATTGAACTGTTAAAATGTTAGAGTAGTACATTGTATAAGTAACCAGCTAAGATTGGCCAGAGATGGCAAAGAAATCCTAAGAAGCCTACAATAATTATTGCACTGTATGATTGCTAAGCCAGTAGTTTCTCGCTTTGTTGAAGCAAGCTGACTATAAACAGAGAATGAAATGCGAGTGGGGAAATAGTAGAATCAGGTGGTTATCCACTGGGTTGTTGAGAGAATTTTCATTCAGTACCCACATCTTAGTCCATGCTATTTATCTCTTATTGGGCCTTTTCAAAGTGAATTTACTAGTAGATTTGTAGATGTGAATTTCATATTGTAATTGTATTATATTACTTATATACATATACTAAATTAGAAATAAAGTAAAATTATGTTATATGATAGAATTAATGCAAAAATACTTATTCTAAATTAATTCTATCACATACCATATTTTTTACTTTATTTTTAATTTAATGCATATGCATAAGTAATATAATACAATTACAATATAAATTCACATCTACAAATCTACTAGTAAATTCACTTTAAAAAGGCCTATAAATATATTTATATTCTCTTATAGTGATCAATGTATAGAGACTTCTACAGCAAAAGGTTGCAATGGACTAAAAATTTTTATTTTGGAATTTTGTAAAAATTATATACTGATACTTTAATTCTTCAAGAAATTGCATTTTTAAGAAAAAATTTTTTTTGGCCCATTGCCACCTTTTGCTATAAAGGTTCAATTTTTTTAACTCATGATAATTGAATTTATTTTATCAAAGATTCTTCACAAGCCTTTTCCATTCAATGTTATCTATTTTCTACCAATGTCAAGAATGTAATTTAAGTTGGAGTTTGTATTGGAGAAATATCATTATCATGAAATAAAGAATAAGAAAGTGGTAGTAGAGCTGAAAGAGAAGATAGTACAGTTCTATGGACCAGAAGTGATGCAAGTTGGATAGATGAAGAAAAATCGATACTTTATATCTAAGCTAGTTATTGACATTTCTGTTATTACAGGCATTAAAAGATTCATATCATCTGTGCTGATAATATTGGATCTAAAAGTGAAGTATTGAATTTATTATTTTGAATTTCATTAGCTATAAATAAGATTGTACTGGAAGGTAAAATAATATTGACATTTTTAGTTGAACATCACAGGTTCAATAAATACATAAAGGATACATATCGGTATCCCTTTATCATCCCGATATCTATCCTTTATGTATCC